TGACTCTAGAAGAGTTGTGGACAAATTCCAAGGACGGAAAAGGAGTGTGCTATCTGCCTGCTGAACTACAGGTTGTGGTCCGATTATACTTAATGACAATTTCCTCTCACCAAAAAAATTACAACACATGTTTTTTTAACGTGAATCATATTGTGTTGACAAAATTTCAATTGTGCAACTACCACATGGGCAGGAACTAGTGATTTCATGTGGAATAACACCCAAGATGGCATTAGACCTATACCAATCAAAATTCCTTAGTCGAACCAATATGGTGAACAAGGTAAACTGTTCGTCTTAATAAGTATTACATGGTTTGCAGTTAATTTTTTTAATACGTGTTGACAATTTCCGCATATGTAGGTGTGTGTTCCGATGAGAGATAATGCCCATTGGTACTTGGCTGTCATCAAGTTGGACAAGGAAGAAGTCCATATCTTGGATCCACAACCAAATGAAGTCCGCAATTCCTTTCGACTACAATCTGTTCAAACAATGGTAAATTTGTGACATTGTGCCGTTATAACGCAAAAAAATGTAAATAACTCTTTCTAAGTACAAACGTTTCTTAATTTGTACAGATGAGCTTTATGCAAGCCTTGTGGAAGATTCTCTGTCGTGAACAAGGATTGTCGCCACCAAGGATTGCGGAGTTTGCGTACCCAACTCCTTCAAAGGATCAAGAACAACTTAATCGGTAAGTATGCCCATTTTTTTGTGATATTAAACGACGTCTTATCAACTTGGTTCTTATCACGCAATGCTTTTATTTTATGTAGGTCTGACAGTGGAGTCTGGGTATGCATGTGGATGTTTGGCGCGAGCTGGGACTCCTCTTATATTTGGGTAAAGACAATTCTAATTCGCAAAATTAGAAAACCACAATTGATTGTTATTTTTGAATCATGCGGTAAGCACCATGTTTGTTGATGTTGATAGCCATGCACTCAAGTGAGGAGGATGCAGATCGCTTTGTACCTTGTTCGAGAGCCCATGAACTACATAAGGCATATGGTGCTCACGGAAGCAAGAAGAGTTGCACCTCAAGTTGAAGCTGCAGTGGAAGAGTACAAGACAACCCATGAAAAGAGGAAGAAGGAAAGAGAAGAGCACAAGGAAACCCAGTCAACGAGCCCAAAACAACCTGATTTTTCGTTTTAGTTTTCAAGATGATGGACAACAGTTATGTTTTTCTTTCTCAGGATGATGGAAAACCGTTTTTTATTTGGTTCGGTGAATGCTTATTATTTTTGGTTTTTATATTTGGTTTTTGGTTTGGTGAATGCTTTTTATATTTGGTTTTTGGTTTGGTTTGGTGAATGGTTTTAATATTTGGTTTTTGGTTTGGTTTTTGGTTTGGTGAATGCTTTGTTTATTTGGTTTTTGGTATTGTGAATGCTTGCTATATTTGGTTTTTGGTATGGTGAATGTTTTCTATATTTGGTTTGGTTTGGTTTGTTTTTTCGTGGAAATGGCAAAGGGACTTCACCAATATTCCAGCTTCCAACTTGTGAGTGAGGTTGCGTCTGTTCAAGGCTTCAAGCAATTGTATCTTGTAGAGAGGTTTAATTGGGATCATGTATAGTTAAACTGATTGGCTCCCAATCGTATAATTAAATTTGCATTCATGTATAGGTAACCCAAAAGGTAAAACTGATTGGCTCCCAATCGTATAATTAAATAATGACCAACTCTTGAACAGATTGAAGCTACAAAGTAGGAGCCACTAACCCACTAACTAAAACTAATGACGTTACTAACTAATAATAATAAAATTAATTATTTACAGAAATTGAATTTATGCACAGCCCTTATCATTCCATTCCTTGAATCTCCACCAACGATGTTTTCACTCCCCTTTTAGTCAGAGAATTCATTGTAGTAATAAATACAATAAAAAGGCATATATAATTAATGGATTCTTTATTGTGTATAATTAAAAGGATATTTTACTATAAACGAAGCATCATAGATCCACAGGGGGATAAAAGAAGCATGAGTCTTGATGAAAAAGGGGAAAAAAATTACCATAGATAAAAAATCATTATAATCAACCTAATTGGAACTGCTTAGAACAAAAGCGGATTAAAATCTCCCTCAATGAAATTCATTTGCAATTTCATAGGTAGTCCCTACTTCCACTTCTATAATTTTGAGAAAACATTGCAATTTCATCAATAGTCCCCACTCGTGGGCCAATTTCAATTGCAACCAAATTTGCACCCTTGCAATAGCTTCTCACATCATAGCAAGTGTAGGATGCAATTGCACCTCCTTGCTTAGGGATGACCATTACTGCATCTCGTCACCTGTCTTAGGCAAAATTCACATGGCAAATTCACAAAAGACTGCATGCATAGAAAAATATTTGTCTGGATAATTAAAAAAATGGGAGACTTTCCTAGTCAGATGATGTACTGGCTCCCCTCAGTACCTGACAGTTTTGAGTGCTGGAGAAAAAGACTGAAAAAAAAAAAACAACGAAGCCTTACAGTAAACTTCTTAACAAAACACATCCAATGCTGGCCCCTTCACTGCTCCACCCCGCCCTGCACTGCTCCACCCCGCCCTGCATCAATCGACTCTCATGTAAGCCGAGGACGTTTGCTTGAGGATGCCTCAGGGGTCTCTTCATGCTCCGTATGCCGAAGGTCATAAAAAGTATTGGTCACTTCGACGATACGGTAGACTGGCAAATAGGCGGAATGGTCCTCCCTAGCATAAACCCCCATATCCATCCCAACCCTTCCAAGAAAGGTGGTCAAGAAGGTGGCATATGGAAAGGCAGTGTACCAGTTTTCCCCTCTAGGAGCAGCCTCAACCATGTTCACGCACATGAGAGATGCGAGGTTAAGAGGAACACCTCTTTGAGCTTGCACAAGGATAAACAGGTCAAGTCTACGAATTATCGAATGACCACTGTACCTTGGCATGAAGCAGTTGACGATCATCCAATGGAGGAATCGAAGAGGATCTGGGAGGAAAGAAGCCTGGATGCGCCCATTCGTCAGTTTCCCCAGTTCAACTTCAAAATCAAAATCGTGCAGCCGCCGAAGATCGCTTCTGCTATTAATGTGGTGTCCTGCGGCGGGGAGATCGAGGATCTCAGCAAACTGATCAGGCTGGAAGCAGGCTCTATAACCCAGGAAGACCGACACGAGATGAGAATCGGAGGGACCAGACAACTCTAAATTGTGGTAGAACTTCCTCACCACATGCGGGCAGTAACTGGTGCTTCCTCGACTCCGGAGATCGAAGAACTTTTCCCAGCCAAGATTTTTAATTAACTGCTTCACTTCTTGAGGGAAAGGGGACAGGTGGATGAACTCGTACTCGGCCACAATAGATGTCTTGCTCGTGAATGAAAGATAGTCCGCGAGACTTGTGGTGGATCGGCAGTCGTCGTTTGATAGAGTTAGAATGCCCATGTTTGCCATGGAGTCAGAGGAAGAAGGAACAAGGGAAGGTGAAGATGGAGGAAAGAGGGATTGTAGGGAAAGAGAGATTGTAGGTGTAAGAAAAAGTGATCGTGGGGGTTGAGTGTGGAGACGTGTGATGGAGACGGTTGAGTCTGGAATGTCAAGAGTTAGAAGATTTGGGAAGATATGTAGTAATGATGATCTTAACTCGTGTAGGTTAAACTAGGGTAACTAAAGCTAGTTAAACTAGGGTTGGCGCTAATACCGCAGGAGAAAACTAATGGGCTCGCACGTTCCATGCCCACTTTTGAATATTGCATGGGTCATGTACAAGCCCACGTTTGAATGTTATTTAAAAGCCTGCAAAAATCAATGATCAGACCCAGTCCAACTAGAATTAGTCCTAAACGCACCGTTAATACATAAACACAAACTAAGGAGACCTCTACATCCGATTCGAATCAAATTATGTGTTCTTCATCTTCTTCCTCAATCCTCTGAGCGAAACGAACACTACATATCAGGAAACCTAAATTTCACCGAGTGATAGAAGTTTCGAGAAAATCACAATAACGCTAAGACAATATGACAAAGCACTAGGGACATGAACCCTAGGGTTAGCAAACCTCTTTCAAGGGTTCTTTTGCAAATGAAAAGTTCGATGAACACAATAATAGACATGGTCGCCGTAATCGTGTTAGAAAGAGATAGGCGAGGGGAAATACAATGGCGAAGAAGAAACAAGACCAAATTTTTTTGGGAAATTCAATTTACGTCGAATGTGGATGGGGAGCTTCTCTTGGAACTGTGAAGGGGCGTCCCTCCAAGACGAGAGAGGGATCGTGTAATTGGTTAGGGAGACTGGAAATTGGTTTGGGCGGCAGTGGGTCTACCCAATTGGGTTTGAGTCTTAATCCATTTAATTTAATCGGGGCAGTTAGTTGGACTAGGATGAAAACAAACTTAACGCGGAGGAGGCTTTTTGTAATTTGTTTAGTTATTTAGTGGCGCAGTTAGGTTTGACAAACGTGAGCCGTGGAGATTGATAACGAACGGTTAAGATCGGCCAAGGTACCCGTACCCGGCTTTTGCCCTGGGCACCGTAGAAGTCACCATATATATATATATATATATATATATATATATATATATATATATATATATATATTAGAAAATATATAAAACAACTCAGGTTGAATCCTGATCAAATCATTAAATCTCAAACCACTTCTTTGACTTGCTCAACGAGTTAAACCAGTTTGACAACCTTGTTAGCAGGGCATTCTCCATGAGTCTTCGTAATTAGACTTCTAGAGCCGTTACCCTTCATAAAGAAAGTTAGCATAAAATTATTAATGAAAATTAGAAAGTAGTATTAACATGACTCGTACTCAAATAATATGTTTTGTTGGTTGCAAAATTATTTCATTTACGTAATTGATTTTATTATGATATAAAACAAGATAATGGAAAATTAGTAATGACTCATCTAAAAACTTTTAAACACACCATACATTCCCAAATATCAAAATTTATTTTAGTTTATTTTATAAATGAGTCATACAAACAACCGCAGATAGCTTCCACTGTAAGTCAATCTCACTAGCGGATTAGTCAATCTCACAAAGTCTGCTACGATTTTAACTAACCAATATAATCGATTTCATAAATACCGTGGATCAAAAGCGACCAACTAGAATGCCAATTCTTCCAGCTCCCCATCTGTTGATGAGTTTAACAACTAAGCCGTTCCAAAAGGTTTTTCCAGTAACAAGAAGCCAAGAAGTGAACACTAACACAGATGTTCGCAAAATTCCTATAAAGATGTCCAAGAATCAATGCAGGGAGGGTGTTCTACCAATCTCTCTCACCTTGTCTGCTCTCTCTTTTCCCGTTCCCGTTACAACCTTGTTACAGCTCTAAACAACACAGAGGATCTACAGCCTACATTTAGTGTGGAAAATATTTGAGGGTATCAAGTCTAAAGAACAAATGAAATAATAGTGAGCAACAGACTAATCCCCTCCCGCGATGGGGTTGTGAGAATTTACAAGCTATTCTCGTTTCAACATTCAGTATCGGATGACATGACGCCGCAGCCAGAGATCATACATCACCATGTGGAATGCATCGTACTTAATCGGTGGTGAATTCCACTGGAAGTGCTTCTGTACCTGTAATAGTTACGATCACACATCACTATTATAGGTAGTTGCAGCTGAAAAGTAGTGTCAGGCGAGTGACAAAATTTGGGATACGACTTTGCTACCTTGGCTACATTTTTATTCAACTCAAGAAACTTCTCATCTGGTATGTCTTTGAGGATCTGCTTCAGCTGATACACGTCTTTCTCTTTCAATACAATGGCGAATTTGCTCCAGTCAATGATGTCGTTGAATGGCAGGTCATAGTAGTTGGATAATATTACTGCAAAATGCGATAATGACAAACTGAACTCAGGATGATTTCAATACTGTACGTACAAACCAAAATCCATACAATACATAGCTAGCTCTGTCCTAATTCATTGCTTACAAGATATGTGGAATCATTCAAGAAACGATTTCGCACTCAGTTGTTTCCCATGTTATATGAAAAGACTTGGCAGTTGGTGCATAAGAGGTTTGTGTCATGGCTTTCATGCCATGGTACAAAAGTAACAGAAAGACTCATTCAGCGATAAATCAATGGTTCTCTTCCCTCTCCTAATTATATAGTTAGCTATGGCGCTCAAAGAGATAATGTCTGGAATCCACATAGACAGCAACACAAATGTACTACGCTTCCAGTAATTTAAGTGGAAAACGTGATTGACCGTGATAGCATCAAGACTTACCAGGAACACATCCATAGTGGATTGAGTCGGTTATTCGAGCACTGTTGACCTGAGAACCTCCTGGGCATATGCAAAATTTAGTCTTGTAAAATCTCTTCTGATACACTAGATGTCCTGTGGCCCTACTTATTCTGTTGTTCGAAATATCGAGCTCTGTATCATTTTCCCAAACACGTGCCAGTATAACTCTAATTCTAGAGTTCCTATGGCCAGCCCAGAAGCCAAGAGTAGTCCTGCAAACAATGCTTCTGGTTAGGGGATAAGGTAGATCACTGGCTACGAAGAAGTATTTGATTGCATTTCTTGCTTGATACTTTCATTGACATCAACATAGTAAATAATAAATCAATCCAAGTGCTGGTTAACAATTTTATTTCAATATGTAAAAGCTCTGTACTTTAAATACAAAATTCCAACTTACAGAAGCAGAACAAGGTGGCTTCTGGGAGTTACCTGTTTTCCGCATCATTGCCTCCAGCTGGAAGAGCGAATGGCTGCAGAACTTGAGGAAGTGCGATATCTTTGTGTGGAATGAATCCAACGTCATAACTTGGGGAACATACTGCTCGAATAGCATTTTTCACAAGAAATGGAACACCATCAGTTGCTCTTACACCAACATCATGACATGTAACGAAGAAGTGATCTGCCCCAAGAGTCCTGTTCCAGTAAGGATATTTGGCTATCAAGCCATCCAGATAATTCTGAACAATTATGGTCATGTTTTCATAGGAAGTACCCTGCGACAACCATAAGAAATTGACACACAATTAGCAGAGGAGGGATGAATTTTTTACAGGATAATTATTATCAGATAATAAGGTATAACAGCATCACTATCAATTAATTCATCACAACCTGATAAATACTTTTAACATTTGTCGCATGAGTAAGGTTTTAAGCAAGCAACGATTTTCAAGTAAAGCAATCAAAAGATACAGATTTGTAGCTAAACCAGAAACGTCTCAAGTTGAAAACCAAACCAAAGACGATTCAATGGCTATGAACTGCTCATTCGTGAAACAAACAGTAGACTGAAAGATGATAGCAAATAACTGGCAACATAAACTGGATAAGAATTACTAAAACTAGGTTCGTACAACCAGCACAAGTCTCAGCAGATTAATACACCCTTGTGAATCTTCATTTCATGCAAGAGTTGCTAACAGGCCGAGCAGTATATCAGTCCACGGACACACATTATTCAATTTACCATTTTGTGCTAGTCACCTAATCAACAAGATTAAATGTTTGAGGCGAAAAAAATGCAGAATCTACTAATACATGTGCTGAGTTACAACTCTCCACAGGAATGCAAGGATGCAAAAATTATTCCGCCATAGTTCACAGTCCTAATTTAGAAAGCCTGCCAACTTCCAGAAGTCAACAACAAAATGAAGCATTACAATCATAATAGCATGATAGCAAGTAATTAAATCAATTCTAAATCATGCTATAATTCCCAGGAAAGATCCACGAAACATAATTTTAGATAATGAACTAAAGCTATTCCAAGATGGGCGATCAGCATGTAACGCAACCATAGCCAAAGATTTTACAGGAAATGGATTCTTCTTCCCTTATCTTCAAATTCCTAAGACATCATCCAGCTCTAAAAGATATTGCAAGTAGTCTGCACTCGGTAAGTGTAAGCCAGAAACTCCACCCTAACTCTTGAGTGTATCATTCTCATCGAAATCCTAGCATGATAACCGAGCAGCTCTGTTGCAGTGAAATGTCAACATGACGATAACGAAATGAAATGCTACAACTTGCAGGGGAATCTTTAAACAATGTCCTAAAACGTCCAGACAACAATGGCCCTGATCATCCAACCGAAAATTGGAAGACCGTTTACTTCTCTTACATTCAGTCCTAAAACTAACTACAGCTTTGCAAGCTGCGACTAACAAAATTATCAAATGCCAATGCACTGCACCAAGCTTTTCCACTTCAACAAGAGAAAAAGAAGCAAACAAGCAGAAGTACAGTAAGTAAAGGAAAACATCCATTACAGAGCTGAATTTTCCAGTCAAGAACTTTTTCCTTACCTTGCCTCGCATCTTATGACATGAAATCGGGATAAAGAAGAGGTGAGCTTGATCCGGATCTTCAGTCCTGAACTTACTTTCTCTAATATTCTGGAAGAAGTAGCCCTCGCTCGCGTACTTCCCCGTCAATTTCCTCGGCGTCTGATAAAACGTTTTCGGATCACCGTCCGGGTAGATATAAACCTTGAAATTCTCCTCCATCGCCGCGTAATTAAGCTTGAATACCTCCGGGTAATGGTACAGATCCGTAATCTCGTCATCGCCGTCGCTCCTCCCTACCTCCGCATTTCCGCTCTCTTCTTGCCCCGCTGAAGCCTCCGTCTCTCTTTGCACCAGTTGAATAATTTGCTTCCCGGAGGCTGAGGTTGCGGTGGGAGAGGACTGCGCGGAGAAGGAGATTGAGGAGTGAAGAGAGTTAAGGGAGAGGTAAGTGAGGGAGACGAAGGTTAGGATTGCGAGAGAGAGGAGGGAGCCTCTGAGAGTGAGCATGGATTGCTGCTGAAACTTGCTGGCTGACATCGAAGGGGAAAAGTACCACGGCGGATACGGATCGATGTCGGCGGCGAGTTCGCCGGCGCCGGCTGCAGCTTTGGTGGAGTGTGTAGCTGGGATCGGGACCTTGGAGTGATCAGTGATCAGCCAGTGGTGGGGGGACTGTCTTTCCTCTTTCGGAAGAGATTGTAACAACCCAAACCAAGCTATAAATAGCTAGAGCCACCTGTTATTGAGTATCTTTGGACAAATTGTGTAAAGTGTAAACAGTTAGTTGCTTCCCTTTCCCCACTTTAGCTGTAGTTCTCTAGAATCCAGAACCCTCTTCTCATTCCATCTCTGTAAATCCTCCATTCCCCATTCTTCATCTCTTTCGCCAGATCAATCCAATAAAGATCCTTACAAGTGGTATTCAGAGCCTGTCATCTGTAGGGCTGCCGGTTCGGGTCGGGTCGGTTAACCGAACCCGAAAACCACAGAAACCGAAACCCGAAACATGTACTTACTGCAACCCGAACCCGAACCCGAAATACCATTTTCGGTTTTCGGTCACCCGAAACCGACAAAGTCCACCTAATGGGTTTGGTTGGTTATATGGAACCCGAAAACCCGAAAATTGGAGAAAGAGAGATGGAGAGCGAATGGCCAAAGCAGAGTACCCCTGTTTTGGAAAGACAGACACCGGCGCCGCCCAGATTGCTTCAATTGATATCTTCAATTGAACAACTCGGCGTTACTTCATGCGGAATTGTAATAAGCTTCCCTTCCACCATTGCAATCAACATCGCAGAATCGCTCTCTCCAGCGAACCTTCATCTGTATCCTTTTTTCTGTATCGCCATTGGATTCCTGTTTGGCCGTAATTTGATTGGATTGACGAAGACGAAGAAGAAGAAGAAAGATGGGTCAAGTTCAAAGCGAGCATTCAGTAGCTGCTTGCTCAGAGCTCGTCTCCTCCTACTTCCATGGAATCTCTCGTAGCAGGTGAACTGTTCGCATCCTTTTTCTCTCCTGCATCCTTTAATTTGATAATAGTAAACTCCAATATCAGCTCCCCGTAGCTTGCACTATTTGATTCTTCTTTGCAACCATACGGCTTTGGGTTACAGTCCAATTAGGATGCTATTCAACATCAATCTCAGTTCTACCCTTATTCTGTAGATCTGAGATATGGGGAGCTTCGAACGCAGAGAATTTGTTGGGTAATCGACTAATCGTTGATCTCGACGTCTGCGGTCTGCTTCTGTCCCTTCGTCGTTGATGGGTCGATCGGCAGCTGGAATCGTTTGCCCTTAGTCAAAGAGGGGGATTGGAGAGAGCTGAGTCTCCCATCTTGTCGCCGACAAAATAAAAGAGGAACCAAATCGACGGATTGGATGGATATCGAATGAAGTGGACTTGATCTTCTTCTTCTTCAGTAGCAAATCGGTTGCCGTTTCACCGTGAGAGACCCAATCGAAGGATTCGGGTTTCGGTTTCTTATCGGTTCCCAGTTGTAATTCAAAACCGAAACCGTCACAATCATATTTTGGGTTGAACCCGAACAACCCGAAACCGACAGAACAATTATCGGTTCGGTTTCGGGTTAACCCGAAAACCCGAACCCAATTTCCCAGCCCTAGTCATCTGGCACCAATGGCGACTACTACAGCGAGAATCGTTGATTTGGAGACACAAATGGCGGATGTTCAGCTCAAGATGGCTTCTCAACACCAGGAGCTGAAGGACGCCATTGCCGCGCTGGCTGCTTCGACGAAGGCCAAAATCGACACCCTCACTGCTTCGTTGGAGCGTCGGCGGACCAATTCTCCGGTCCGTTCTTCATGGCATGAGAATCCCAATCAGTTCGCTGAGCAACGGCAGTTCCGTCCGCCATCACCGCGACCGTCGATTCGGGATCCTCATGGGTGGGTTCCTTTTCCCCTCTTCTCTGGGCAGCATGATTCGGCCACAGACCACCAGCAGAGTACCGGCGCCAATCAGTATCGCGCCTTCATCCGTCCACCACCACGACGGCCTTTCTTCGTCGTCTCCGAGCAAATTGGATCGATGGTGGATTATCAGGAGGCACCGCCGATTCACTCACCACCGCGTCCCACTTACATTCATCGCCCTGATCATCAGCACTTCCGGCATCAACCGCGTCGGCCGTCAATTGAGGATCCCTATCATCGTCTCGAGTTTCCCTATTTCTCTGGCTTGGATCCTCGTGTGTGGGTGAGCAAATGTACCGAACTCTTCCTGCTTTACTCAGTTCCGGAAGATCAGAAGGTCGATTTGGGTTCGTACTATCTAGACGGGCGTGCTCGCACATGGTTTGAGGGGTGGTCTTTCCGGCGTTTTCCTTTGCTTTGGGGTGATTTTGTCGATGGGTTGCTTCTTCGGTTTGGGAGGCAAGAGCAGATGACTGTCGTTGCGGCGTGCAATCAGCTTCAGCAGCCGTCGTTCCTCCCTTCGTTGATTTCCGAGCAAACTGGGTTTGTGGGAGACTTCCAGGTTCGTACTCAAGCAACCTCTTCCTTGTTTCCTTTACGGGGGCCAGCTCCATGCTTGAATTTTCTGGATACGCCTTCTACTTGGTTGCCATTCGCTCGGACAGTTCCGTGTGGTTCTCAAACTGCAAAAACCCCAGACTTTCCACATAACGCTTCTTTCTTAGGGGTTCTCAATCTCACTGATCCTTGGATAAAGAGTGGCATGTTTGATTCCTCTGCTAGTACTCTTAACCAGAAGATGATTTCTGCCGTAGCCATTGATCAGATTCTTACTGTTGAAGATGCAGCTTTCATGTTTGGTGATCCTGGTCCTACTGAGTTTGTGTTTGGGATCTTTGGTTGCACTATCAAGTCCGGCAATGCCAATTGGGGCTACGAGTTTCGCGTCTTCCCAACTTTCTATGGCATCCTTAGGCATTTCCATGGCAGTAGGAACCATGCTGATTTCAAATGCCCTTATAAAGATTGTGATTTTCGATCAATTGATTGTCCGTCTCGGTCTTGGGATTTCATTGTGCACTCAAGAGAGGCCTCAAATTCTGGTGTGGTAAGCAGTATGTGTTACTCTTGGGTTTGTAAGAGGAGAGGCTCTGTTCGTAGCTGGGAAGGATCCTACACAGCTTGGCTTTCCGATGCATTGGTGTTCAAGCAGCTTATGAGTTTGATTAAGAGCCTGGCGCCAGACTCTGAACAGGAAACAATCTTACTATGGCTAATAACAATGTTCCCTCAAGCAAAGCCACCACAGTGCTCCACAACAGCCACCCTTTCATTCTGCAGCACGACTCCAATAGCAGATCAAGTTGACAACAAAGCCAACCCTGCCAAGACCAAGAGGATCCTTGAGATCTTCTTTGGTTGGTACTATGCTTCCACTGTACTTGCAGTCTTGATTGCCCTCACCGCCATTGTCTACATTCAAAACCACCTGGGATGGCGAGTTGGCTTTGGAGTTCCAGCTATCATGATGCTTCTCTCAGCCTTGTTCTTCTTTATGGCTTCCCCATTGTATGTGAAGCATAATACTAGCATGAGTTTCCTCACAGGCTTTGCTCAGGTAGTTTTGGTTGCTTACAAGAGCATGAAACTCCCTTTCCCATCTGGAAACATTGGTGGAAGGTACCATGTGGCAGAGATTCAAACCTTCTGATCCCTTCCAAGAAACTAAGGTTCTTGAACATGGCTTGCATAGTGATCGACCCAGCAATCGACATATTCCCAGATGGAATAACAACAAATCCTTGGAACCTATGCACAGTGCATCTACTTGTCCTTGTTAGCAACATGGAGAGAAAGAGAATTCTTGTTTCTCATGTTAATGCTACTGCTTTCGGGGTGCTATGGACACTTTGGATTCCATCAGCTGCATTTACCCTCCTTTCCAGTTTGAATAACAGCTTGAGGACAAGCTGTGTTTGAAGGAGATGGGTTTTGTAACAACCCAAACCAAGCTATAAATAGCTAGAGCCACCTGTTATTGAGTATCTTTGGACAAATTGTGTAAAGTGTAAACAGTTAGTTGCTTCCCTTTCCCCACTTTAGCTGTAGTTCTCTAGAATCCAGAACCCTCTTCTCATTCCATCTCTGTAAATCCTCCATTCCCCATTCTTCATCTCTTTCGCCAGATCAATCCAATAAAGATCCTTACAGAGATCCAGGAGATGAATCAGATGATGATTTCGTCGTCGTTGTGTGCGATAAATTGTCCCGGGAAGGATTGTCCACATCAAATGTAGGATTGTCCAACAATCCACGTTAACAAGCCCAAAACTAGCAGCAGGCGTGGGCTCAGACGTAAGGCACTGATCCTACGCTCAGGCCCAATCCTATCCTTTCACACCCTTCACGGCTCGGTCCTACACTTCCATTCCCTCCCTATTTTGGATTAATTCCCTAAATACAGTAATAATTAAAAATAATTTCCAGAATACATAATTTTTATAAAAAATTTCCAAACTACCAAAGTTTGACACAGTTCGAGTTCAACAAACTCGAACTAGTACCGAATCGACTGCCAACAAATCGATCCACGTGCATCGAGGATGGAAGACTCGAACAGCAAAACCTGGATCGATGACTTGGGCAGCGCTCCACCCTAGATCGATGTACCGGGAAGCGATCTAGGCCGTTCGATTGCTGAACCCGCGAAGCAGTGATGACGCGGATCGAGTGTGGGAAACTCGATGTCAGTAGATTGAGTCTGTGGTAATCGATCTGATTGACGCGGATCGATGACGTCAGGCGCGCACTACCGTCGATCGAGTACCCTAAACTCGATCTAGGCTGTTCAATTTCCAAACACGCGAAGCAGTGATGACGCGGCTCGAGTGGGGGAAACTCGATGTAGTAGATCGAGTCCGTGGTAATCGATCTGATTGACGCGGATCGATGACGTCAGGCGCGAACAACCGTCGATCGAGTACCCTAAAATCGATCTGAGTTGTTCGATGCACCTAACCTCGACCTGCTATTGACGCAGATCGAGTGCCCCAAAATCGATGCACTAGTTCGAGCTACGTAAACTCGACCCACTCTCCCACAGAACCTATAAATACCCCCTCCCATTCCACCAAAACTCACACCACTCCATTCTTCTTCCTCTCTTCCTCCCGCCACTCTTGACGAAAAAAATATGCTCTGTGGTTGCGGCTAAGCCTGATCTTCCGCATCATATTTTTTTTCTTTAGTTTGGTACTTCTATCACTCAAAATTGTCGAGATGGATCCTAGTATTTACGATCCTAGATTATACATTCAAGGCAGACCGCGATAAACCGATTAGTTGGATGAGCAACCTTATCATCGGTCTGAAAGTGTTTGGGCGGCAGATCCGGTAAGCACTTCCTCATGTACTTTTTTTTTAATGTGAAAGTATTCTTCTAATTTTTTTGTATAATAATTAATGTTTTTTTCTACAGGAACAACTTGATGTAATCACCCATCGGTCGCTATCTCATTTGCCTAAATGAGATGATCGTATCGAGCCCTTCATTGAAAGAGTGCGATTGCTGAGGGTGCGAAAGTTTGTGGGGATGGAGATGGACAACAACCTTCTTACGACAATGGTGGAAAGATGGAGAAAAGAAACACACACATTCCACCCTCTAGAGGGAGAGATGACGATTACGTAGAAGGACGTAGCCATGCTGACAGAGCTTCCAATCGATGGTGATGCAATAATAGAAAGTACACAGAAATCATTGAATGGTTGGGGCCAATTTATAAGCGAGCGACATCCCCGAGGAAGCACAAGAAGGTCGTCGTGTACCACCTCTACACAAGTCTATGCTATTGATACCTTGGCTAGTGAGGACCGTTGGGGAATTACCGGAGGATACCACGGATGCTCAGATAGAGAGGTATGCTCGCATCTACCTGATTTGTTTGGTTGGAGGATTTTTGTTTCCGAACAAGTCTGGTGGAAATATGCATTGTATGTGGCTTTGAGTTCTTTTGGAAGATTGAGACGAGATTGGGAGAAAAAGTTGGGGATCTGCTTGTTTGGCGATAATATATTAGGAGTTGTACAAGTGTACGGATCCGAAAACAAAGCAAGCGGGTGGTCCCATGTTCATCCTCCAACTATGAGTTTGGGAGCACCTTCCTACTTTCGCTCCGATCTGCCCTGCCAACAGTTGGGGTCCCGATGAGCCACTATGATAATGGGCTTATGGTGCTAAATGGATTGGAGCTATCACGAGACTCACCTCTCTAGACGAGTACCGCCAACATCTTGACCGTATAGAATTCAACGAGGTAATATTCTAGTTTATGATTATGAATGCTAATTTATTTGTTGAAATTATTTGTCTTAGCCCATGATTTATTTTTATTATTATGAATCCTATTTTATTTTATTTGTTGAAATTATTTGTCTTAGTCTTAGCCTATGATTTATTTTTATGATTACGAATTCTATTTTATTTGTTGAAATTATTTTTCTTAGCCCATGATTTATTTCTATGATTACGAATTCTATTTTATTTGTTGAAACTAATTGTCTTAGTCTTAGCCTATGATTTATTTCTATGATTACGAATTCTATTTTATTTGTTGAAATTATTTGTCTTAGCCCATTATTTATTTTTATGATTATGAATCCTATTTTATTTGTTGAAATTATTTGCTTCGATTTTAATTTATATGTTGTGTTGAAACTTAGGTGGAGTGGGATCCGTATCCGAACGGAGCAAAGGATTTGTACGTGTTGCCATACCCTGAGGATCGTCGACTCTGGTTGTGCAAGTTGCCTGTGATTTGCCACAACATTGTCGAGTGGCACCTCCCGGATAGATGTGTCCGACAATATAATTGGGCGCAACCGATTCCTCTCCCTCCACCGGACGTACATAAGTCACTCCACAAGTACAACAAGGATCTGCGGGGTACAATCAGTGAATGGCCAACCAAGCACCATAGATGAATTGAAATATGGGAGTCTCGTCAGACGTATGCAATTGATGGGATCCCAATGTCGAGGCCAATGGGGTACCAAGATGAATACATGGTTTGGTACCGCAAGTTCACAAAAAGATGGGTAACCAAACGTGGCGCCGTGATCGGTTCGTTGGTAAGCACAATATATATTTACTATAATCACTTTAGCTACACAAAGAGTGTTTGACTAACCTGTTTATTATTTAGGTTGATGGGTTGGAACTTGCATCAATGACGTTGGAGAATGAACCAGAACAAGATGTGCCAGCTGAGAAAATTTCATTCTTGAAGAAGCTCTTCAAGAATCTCTTGTCATGTTCGCGGGAAATCCGAAGGGATGTCATTACATATCCTCCTGCACCTGCACCGCCACGTCCTTCCTCCCACGCCATTGAAGTTGAATCTCTCCCTCCATCACCACCAAGGAGGAGTAAACGTCGGCAAGAGTCAGTTACAGTCCCTATGCAAGTACGAGAAGATGTGGCACTTCCTGACCCATACGAGTATGGATTCCCTTCCGTTAGAAGGGAATTCGGAGAGGGATCATCAGGTCCTGCTCAAGGAAGGGGAGGAGGAGCCTACTATGCTTCATCGTATGGTTATCAATTCCAAACCCCGCAGCAAAGCTTCCAGCTCCGATGACAAATGTTTATTATGGTCCACCAGCCACTGCAACCCCACCTCCATTGCCACGAAATACTGGAATTGGATATGGAGTTCGTTCAAGGAATAGACATCGAAGAGAAGGACGCGGACGTGGTGCACAAGAGTGAGGTGTTCTTTAGAGTTGTTAAGTTGTTCTATTTCTAATGACGTTGTTAAGTTGTTCTATTTCTTTAGAGTTGTTAAGTTGTTCTATTTCTAATGACGTTGTTAAGTTGTTCTATTTCACAACATAAAATTCAAATTACAACATAAAGTTCTTAAATCACAACATAAATTCAAATTACAACATAAAGTTCTTAAATCACAACATAAAATTCAAATTACAACATAAACTTTCAATTGTCAGTCGATGGCCCTGGACACTGGCGCCTATCATGCCCTTCAACTCGACATGCAGAGCACTTCTTCGGGCGGCGTCGCTGTGTCCTTGATCTATCCATTTCATTTGCAATTCGGTTAACTCTAGGTCGACCTTTGGTACGCTTCATGTGCTCGGGAGGGTACACTACAGGTCCATCATAATGGGGCCAATATGCTTCATGAGCTAAGGGAAAGACCCTTCCCAAACTCTGACCACGTATGGAGTCTTGTAGTATGGACTAACAAATATCAAAGGGTCCAAATTAACGCTTCTCGCTGCTGCATATGCATGAGAGCAAGGCAGGTGTCTCCCTTGAAACTTTCCACAAGTACACTCTCCTATTCCATTCCTGGCATCCAGTATAACTGTTTGACAAACCTTAATACTTCTCTGGCATCCTCTCCACTAAGTACAATGCATGTAGGTGTCATAAATGAACGAACCTAAAAGTCCCCTATACATGAACTTGCCCCCATATATGAATGATAGTAAATTAGCTGAATTCATGTGCACTCATACATGAATCGTAATAAATGAGGGGGATGTATGTACATTGAAGCATGAATCTAGAGATGCATGCATGTGCCTACACCCTTCTAGAATCTTCCTCGTGACATATCCGGGTGGCCGGCTAGTAGTCTCATATTGAATTCATTTATCAGGGCTTGAAGATGATGCCAGGTGCCAGAAACTTTAGGAACTTGGAACAAAGCTCCCCGGCTTGCTCGCAAACCTTTGCCATTGAATGGATCACAACACCAGGAAGTAGGAAAACTCCACCCTTTTTAACAATATGTATATATATGTAGTTTCCTGTGAGAGCCAAGAGCTTTGACATAAGAAAGGGAGAAAACTTTCACTCTGCTTACTCATTTGAAAGCCACTGATGATCTGAGTAATGTGCCAAGATTGCCTACATCATGTAGAAAACAAAACGAATCTTGTTGAGTTGGAGATGGGCTTTTACATATTCAGGCCATCAACAAGGTAGGAAAAACTAGATTGTAACCTCGATCCCTTCAAGGACGAGAATTCGATGAGGAGATGGGAACCACTTGCGGAAATCAACAGCTGACAAAGTAGATGGTGGAGAATCTCATTAAGGCAATAGCTTCAATGGATTTCGTGGGTTGCACTTGTGAAAGCTTTTTCATGACAAACGAGCTCACTCGCAGAGTACGAGCTAGGGAAGAACTTTCGAGTTTCGAGGGCAGCGGGGACATTGACATTATCTAGAAAAAACAGATAATCCATTTGGGTGGTCTTGTCTTGCAGCGATTCTTCGAACTTGGAAATCTCCTTGTAGACACCTAAAGCTTCATTCAGGACTTATGTCGAACACCATGTACGCATGACAAACAGCGAAACACACAGTCTCCACATTTGCGGAGATTGGACAATAGACACAAACCCAAGTCTAAATTCAGTGATAAGAAATGAAAAGTTCACCTAGTGATGTCAAGAAGATGATAATACCTGATAAGGGTAGTGCCAATGACGAGAGCCGAGCCATGGGAATGCCAGTAAGGAGAGCTTCGACAGAGCTTGACGCAGTGCCTGACAAATGGGTTTGATGTGCTCGTTATTGATTTCACATGGGATAGAGGTATGAAGTTTTCCACCGTCCTTGAATCGCCGCTAGTGTTAGTATCACCACCGTCGGTGTCATCTCTATCACGGGCGTAATTTGGATTTCTTTGCATTGTTGCTAGATTGACCTTTGTAACAGGGAGTTTCAGATATGGAGAGGGAGAAACTAGAAAAAATCTCAAAAACACATGTTTGGGCATCACTGCGGTTATCAATTGCATTGAATGCATTCAGCGCAGCAAACGAAAGTGGTGAATGCATCACTGCGGTTGAAGGCTGCGATAAATGCCTGACCTAACACTGAAACTTCAAACGAACGTAACTTTGCGCTCGGTTATCCGATTGTAGCGATTTTTTTTATTCCGCATAACTTTTCGAGATCTTTCAATATGAAACAAGCATTCATAAAAAAAAATGGCGTTTGCTACCGGTAGCTATTTTGCCTTCCGTCGTGAGTAACTCCACGATCATATTGCCACGGACGACTCAATAAGAGATGAGCAGCCTGCATTGGAGCAACATCACACCAGACTTCATCTGCATACTAAACAATATGAAATCGAACCTTGCCCTTCTTGTTGACCTTGTTGGATCCTTAGTCGTTCAACCAATGAAGGTTGTAAGGCTGTGCTTGCTTAATGGTGCTCAGACCCAGCTTCTTAAGTGCACCAAGACTCACTACATTGGTGTAGCTACCACCATCTATCATCACAAACAATAACTTTCCGTCCATCATGCAGCGGGTATGAAATAGGTTATCTCGATGTTCTTGTTTTGATAGAGGTTCAAGGGAGAGCACTCTATGATTGACTCCAAGAAACTTCATGTTGGAGGAATTTCACCAGTGATGTGCTCATCAACATCATCATCAGAATTAGAATCAATTCCCTTCCCATTGGCTTCTCTTCATACTCCTCCTCAGAAAAGTATTATTCATCTCGCAGAATTAGAGTCTTCTTTTTGGGGCATTAGTTTGCTTTGTGACCTCGACCCGGACATTTGAAGCATTGGATGCTTCTAGTTGATCTTTCCGACCTGACTTGAATATATGAGCACTGTTTCTATCTGTTGGCTTGACTCCTTCTGTCCGGAAAGGATTCATAGGGGCCTCCCCCATGTTCTCTACAACTGGTTTAGTTGCAGGTGGATACCTTCTTTAAGAACCGTCCTTCGTCTACTTTTCCACCTTAATGGCTAGGTGAACCACTTCTTCCAGCTCCACAAATTGACGAAGCTCAACTTTGTGCCTAATTTCCAGATTGAAGCCATGGAGAAATCTAAAAATTGTAGCTTCCTTATCTTCCCTCGCATCCTCCCTCATTAAGAGCAATTCAAAGAGTTCACTTCAAGGAATCAAAGAGTTCACTTTGATAGTACCTTGGCACGAACCTCTTTCTCACGAGCCCTCTCAATTCCGCCCAAGTTGTGAAAATTGGCTACCAATTCCTTCTTCTTTTGAGTTGTACATGGTCCCACGATGTAGCTGCATAATCAGTGAATTCATATGTGTCTAGTAGTACATTTTGTTGTTCGATGTCATAGCCACATTGGAAGAACATGATGATCTTCCTCTCCCAATCAAGGTATCCAGAAGCATTAAGAGATCCTTGAATTGAAGTAAGTGAAAGCTTGATCCCTCGTAATTCAGCAATGGTACCTTCGCGTCCTACCTCTGGTGGTCTTCCACCGTAATCATGAAACTCGTGTTTTTGACGCGTTCCTTGCATCTAGGGCTTGGTCGGTTCCAGTCGGAACGCCCTACTGCTGGCGGTGATAGAGCATCCAACTGCTTGTTGATCTGGTCAAACTGAACTTTGAATGTCGCGTTCAATTGCACCATGATAGTCTGCAATAGTTCTAAAATATTATCCTACTGCTCTCCCATTGTTTGTTCTTCGGATGGGATTTCTTCCTCTGACAAAGAATACTCCTTTGCAACCCGGTTCGTAAGGGGTATTTTGATCTCGTACGAGCACAAAATTGTTACTCATAGTTATCAAAGTCTCACATCTAAGAAAGAGGTTTCAAACTAGGGGTAGGGTGGAATTGAAGTGATATCTCACACCTAGGAGAAGGCTCTATCAATATTAGGATAGAATCTTGACCAAAATCAAGGGGAAACCTTGATTGATAGAGAAAACTTACAAGCCTAAAGCTCAATGAACCTAGATAAAATCAATATTCTTCAAAATCTTCCACAAAACTCGAGTTTAAGCCTTTAGATAGGCTAGAGAAACAAAAATTAAATAAAAACCCAAAAAGGAAAAAAAATCCTAAACACAAAGGTAAATTCACTCGTTAGCCCCGATCTCCGGTCTCAGATCCCCGATCGGGGATTATCTTCCATTGACCAGAGGTCTCCTACTTGTGATCCCTGGTCACCTCCCATGATTCCTTAGTTAGGGAATTAATAAGCATGGCCGGAGAGAATCACATCCTCCCCTGCCCTCTGATCTCCACCTTTTGTTGTCGTTGACCGTTGCTCCCCATCTTCCCACATTTGCTCCAACCATCCTCTCCGGCCTCCGCTATGTCCCCCTTCTCACCCTTTCCCCATGCTCTTTGCCTTTTCAGCCTCCACCACGTCCATGCTCCCCATCCTCTTTCCCCTGTCAAAATTAACCTCGGTTGATAACCCTAAAGTCCAGAAACTCACCAACCATTTCCCCTCTTCCATCTGTCAAATCCTCCACATCTATCTCGTTATGTCCTGCCGAGCCCCGTTGTGCGACTGTCTCAACCCTTGACCCCAACTTCCATCTCCGTCTCCATCTCCGTTCTCGCCTTCCTCAATCCGGAAACAGAGCAGCCTGCTTCGTGGCTATTAATGGGCTAGTTTGTCTCTGCTGTAGCTTTTATAAAAGTAGCTTCTCGCTGGAGTTTTTAGAAAATTACTTTTGAAAAAAGTTGTTGAGTGTTCGGCTGAAAAACTATTAGAAATTCTTTTTTTACCGATTAGAAGTTCTTTTTAATATAAGAGATCATGTGAAACGACTAAAAAGAATTTATAAAATAAATATGAATAAAATTTTTAAAGGATAAAAAGTAGTCAAAATTGATCTTTTTAGATTTATTTTATATTAAATAATACTATTATGATTTAATTTATATAAAATTTGAATAAAAGTAATATATAAGAAGGATAATCTTGTATATTTAAAACAGCTTTTCGCATAAGCTCAAAATAAGAGCTTCTGCTTTTATGTTATACAAAAGCACTTTTCAAGTTTTCAAAAGTCGAGCTTTTAGAGGTGTTTGGCCCTACTTCAACTTTTGAAGCAAAAAAACACTTATAAAAGCCGGAACAAACATAGACAATGGTGGCCTTCCACTCCCACATTCGTTCCACCAAGTCTCCAATGACGAAGAACCAAGTCTACAACCATTGCCCATCATCACCGCTCTCTCATATGAAGAGTTTGTCGAAGTCGAAAAATTTCCTAATCAAACCCTAGCTTTCTTCAATCCAAATCCAAACTCTACCTCCTTCCCCAATTTTACCACCATCCCATCTCTCTCCCTTGACTTCTCTCAGATCTCTAGAGAAGGGAGTCAAATGGATCTAGCCGACGAAGAAGGGCACTCTTGCCACTTGGTGGTCGGAGAAGGGTTGTCCTTAAAGAGCGACCTAACCTCTTGACGTGGGACTTCTTAAATTTCTTTGACATGACTCAGTACGAGCGATCAGAATTCTTCGAGAAGGAGTAGGGAGAAGAAAGAGCGAGAAATAATTAGGTCTAGGGAATGAAATTGGGGCCTGAACTGATCCGGGTACGACTCGTAAGTCATAAAGAAGACAAAATTGACTGCGAGGACGTGGCAGAGAAGAGGAAAAAAAGGATACGTTTCCGAAATATAACAACACTATCGAAGATAATTTTTTTTTAAAATAATAAAAATATATAATTTTTAATCTAAACTAGTAGAAAAAATAAATTTAAATTTTCATGTCAAATACCACATCATTGTTAATTAGATTTTGTGTTAAACACTAACCATCAATACTGGTCAACACAAACGATAAAAATAATTCGTGCTAGGATTGTCATATTGAATACTTTAGTATATAAGTGACATTTTTGTGATAGTTGAGATTTTCAAGTGGAATTAGCCATTTTAATTATAATTTACATTAAGTATATAATTGGGTTAATACCATTTTTACCCTTATACTTTTACAAATTAACAAACGTACCCCTTACTAAATTTATGCACGACAATACCCTTCAAATATTAAAACGTAAGGAATTTATCATTTCGTCTAATTATCAGTTAAGTGATCATTAAATGGGCAGAAAATGACAAAATTGTCCTTTATTTGTTGTTAATTATAAGTCCGTCCACATCAGAAACCACAACTCCTTCTGCCCGCTGACCATCACCTTGGGGCCTTTCCACTACTAGGTCCCGAACCTCAACCTTTGGGAGACTTTCAAGCTCGTCGTCGCCAAGAGGGCTCACTCCAAATTCCGAGCCTTTGCAGCATTCAGATACTTCGTCGACCAACAATTGCCGCAACAGTGATTCGGGCATAATTACGTACACATCTTTCACCCCCTTATATCTTGATTGTTTGACTTGGAATCGTCATTCCATGACCTATTTATACTAGGTTGTGCTTATTTGGTTACATTTTAGGTTCTAGTACGTGTGGGAAGGTCAAGGATGAGTTTCAGGACGAGTTTTAGGATAATTGGAGGTCGAAAAACGCCAAAATGTGAAGAAATGGCAGATATCACGTTGTGGAGGAGATTATCAAGGTAAGACGATTGTAAAGATGGAGCTCAGGATGTGACTCTAGACTATTTCCAGAAGCCCTTGCACGTCTCGTAGATAGAGTCATTGTCACAATCCCTAGACCATGATAATTGTGAAGAGACTGTGAAGTTGGGCATGAAATGACATCAACGTCAGCTGAGATCACTGGCAGGTGTCGAGATCAGATGTATGCACTCGGGCAGTATAAAAAGGCAGTACTTGGGAAATAGAAAGGGGGAGCTTTGTTTTTAAAGAAAGAGCTTGGTTTTTCCTTTAGGGTTCGACCAAACACCCAAAGGGGAATGTCTAGAGAGAGAATGATCTTGAGTGATCTTGGAGCTTAATTGGAAATATTGGAGTGAAGGATTCATGCCTAGAATATGATGAAGAAGAAGATGTTGAGCTATTTTGTAATCTTTCTCTCTCTCTCTCTCTCTCTCCTCTCTATGAACTAGACTTCATTTCTTAGGTTGTTGAACCCTAGGTCTAGATTTTTGTTTAATGTTGATGTATGTGACGAATTCTATGTTTGATTGTTCATTTTATTTAGATAATGAATGGTTTTCATTGATTGCATGAGTTCTACATGTCAATGGAGCTTTTGACATAGGAGGGAGATAATCCCCTTAGAGTCAATTATTAGCGTCCTAGGGTCACTTCTACCATAAGTCGTTCCGTGTAATCCTCGATGGAGTCAATTTGTTCGATTTCTTGACGATATATGAATCCTTAGGTTGAATAGAGCACTGCCAATTCATCGCTACGCCATTCCAGGTCAATACCCGAGGGAGTATATTGGTTGAGAAATTGAGTTGATCGAGCTAGGATGGTACGCACCATCAGGCCGAATGATGAAACTAGGGGATTCAAGCTAAGAGAGCTCCAAACTTGTAATTAGCTAGGATAGTGGTTAGTTAGGTTAGTTAGATTAGCTTCTTAATCACTATTCTAGGTTGGTTAGATAATTTTATTACTTGCTTACCCTATGCTACACCCGCTCGTTGGTTAAACTTGGCCTTTAATTGGGTAGTTGTAGTTAGAGCAAGCAAATTTTTGGGCACCGTTGTCGGGGACATTCTAGGTAATCGAAAAAAGGCTTAGGTCATTACTTTAGCCGTTTTGTTCTTTGTTTTGTGTTTGTCGACCCATTCTTCGTCTTGAAGGGTGATATGTGTTTGTAGGTTGAATCATGGATTCAAATGACTTCTACAACATGTGATGGTATCCATAACCACCCGAATGGGGGTACTGGAGCTTCATGGAGTAATCAAGAGGGTGGAAGCCAAGGAACCTGGTTCTATGATCAAACTCCTTTCCAAGAAGAACAACCATTCTAATGGGGATATCAAGAAGCTTCCCCATACAAAGAAGATTTCCCTCCACAACCCGAGGTGAAATCCAAGTTCGAGTTGGCCATTGAGGCTTTCATGGGGCATTCCACGAGACCATGTGCCACTCCACAACCAGAGCCAAAGAGTGAATTGAAGCTCATGGTGGACCAATTTTCCTGGGGCACCGACGAAGGATGCTCCAATGCGGATCTTCCAATGTCGACCCTATCGACTCATCCTTCCTACAGACATCGGAGGAGATCCTTCGAAACACGAAGAGGCTAGGAGAGATTGTTGAGCAAGCATGTGTGCAACTTACTCACAATCGTCTCCTACCATTTGAAGAGGAGAGGAAGTTAAAGAGGCAAGCCTTGAGAACTTTAGAAGAACACACTTCGCCATGGATCTCAATTCCTCCCTCCTTCCGGTTGACACTATAAGAAAAGTGGTGCGAGCTTGTGCATGCCATCGCCTCTCACCATTGGAAGAGCAAGAGGATGTTGAAAGGACAATCAATGAAAACAGTTTAGAGCAAGAGGAACTCACCCCGGAGAGCTCCTGTGGCAAGGATGACCAACAAGCTTGCATTGATGAAATTCAGTTCTTCTTCCTCGTTTAGGTGAAGAAAATATGAGCTCCGACTGTTGGGCGGCAAGTTGGTTTGTTAACCTCCTCGAAACTGTGGTTTCGGAGATAAGGCCAAATCCATTGCTAGTCTCTAAATTTGGGGATCATCCTCATTTTCTCCTCTTTTCTTCCAGTGCTACATTCTCTAAATCTGGGGATCTTTCTTTTTAGTTAGTTTTTCTTTACTTAAAAACATACTTATGATCATCTTAATACAATTTGTTCATGTTAGTTTTTGTATAGTTCGTCATCATTTTTAAATACAAATTTTACGGTAGAATTTATTTTTAATTTTGAGACCAAATTTTTTTGACAAAAAATGATTGACCTAATTTGGGATTACACCCAACACTTGAAAATTATTGATCTAATAAACCCCTAACTAGTCCCCTAATTAAACCCCAATTAACCCCTAAAATCTTAAAAAGAAAAAGAAAAGCACATAGCGGGCTTTGGGGAGTCTCTATATTTGGGGAATCCCCATTTCCACCCCAAATTTGGAGATCCTTTTGCAGATCTCCCCCAAATATAGAGACTCTATTGGAGCCAACTTTTCCCCAAATATAGAGACTCCCCCATTTATAGAGGCTCCATTAGAGTTAGCATAATTAGGTAGTTGTTACGCCATTGCTGACCAAGAGTAAACAGTGATCCGAACCTCACGGCTGTCCCAAAAATTAAGGGTGAAAGATTGACCCGGAAAACCCACTGACCTGTCCCTAAGGGTCGGGACGGGTCAGTTTGTTTACAGGATCAGATTAGGGACGGGTCATTTGTTGACCCTGTAAGGGTCGGGACGGGTAGGGACAACTTAGGGACGATCACGTTTTGACCCTGTGACACTTAGCAACAACAAATATCTCACACCACATTGGACCTTTTTGTAATTTTTTAAAAGTTTAGGTAGTAACTTGTAAAAATAAAAATTTTGGGTACCAAAACGTAATTTTACCATCAAAATTTATGGATTTATTTGTAAAAAAATAAAATTTAGGTACTAAATTGTAAGAAAATTTTTTTTGGGTACCAAAACGTAATTTGTAAAAAGCAGTGTGTTGATTAGGGTCGACCCACTGACCCGACCCGGCTCGTCCCAACCCTTGAGGGTTAGACATGGTCAAGAAGGAGACAGAGACGGAACGGGTCAGTTATACATCTTGACACTTAAGAGACGGGTCACACAGTGTCAGGGACATGACAGGGACGGGACAGACAAATTTTCAGCCCTACCAAAAATAAATCTTTCCCCAGAGTCTAGAGACCATCGGAGATAGGGCAATGCGAAATCTCATTATGTGCCGCTCCATCTGCCCAGATCTTAATCTTCATGTACATAGAGCTCCAAGTGCATAGTGCTTAAATCCCGATTCAGGAGATTTCCACAATAATTTCCGATGGATTTGCATAAAGCTATGTTTTTCATATTAAATGGAATCCCAAAGGCAAATATGCATACCCACCCTCGGGAGCAAACTCTCCCATCTTCCTCGCACCACATCTATGTATGGGAAGAGCAGCTCAAAACCCTAAAGATATAGAAAGCCTCCGATTATGCATCCAATAGTGAGAAGAGGAAGCCAATTAACACTAAGGAACAAAGACCTAATCATCTCCCAAACCACAGTTTTGGGGAGGTCAAGAAACCAACCCGCCGTCCAACAGTCGGAGATCATATGGTGTTCACCTGAAAGAGGAAGAAAAGGAAATTTTATCCCATTTTTGTTTCTTAAATTTTCTTTTTTAATTTATATTATTTTATTTTTTCACCAAAAAATAATATTTTATTTCTTTTTAACGGTAGACGGAATTTTAAACGGATGCACAATTCAATGACATTAGTGGTATCTGACGCACTATTCTAACTTTAGTGGTATAGCTCCCCCAATTCTAGTACTTTAGTGGTACCCGAGTTATTTTACCTTAGTTTTGACAAGATCCCTTACTTTTTAATGTTTCTTTTGTTGTCAGGAATTGTTGTGTACAAATTATAGCCAAGTGCTTGATTGTTTGACTGAGAGCAGTTTTTTGAAGAATTCTGCTGATTGCTTCGATGTTTGGGTTGAAAGATAAATATATCAATTTATTGCGTTTTAGGGTAATAAAATTTGAACTCTAGAACGAGGAATAACCATTCAGTATAATTTTAATCGGTTCGCTAGTTTGACTTACCGTTTCTTCGCATTCTATCCTACTGGAAGAAGCAAAAAGGCAATGGAGGCTGAATCCAAAAAGAAAAAAAAAAGGCAATAAAGGCGATTAACGGCAAAGAGAAAGCTCACTATCCCAACGGTCGCCAAGGAAGGACTTGAAATTTGAAACCTAAAATTTCCTCCGAACCCCAACCTCAGTACCAAGAGAAAGGAAATAAGAAGTAAAGAACACTTTAGACAAGGAATTACTACCAAGTATCAACGAATTCCTCCATTCTCTCTGCACCTTCAGCCTCTCCCCAGATTTTGCGAATTCAAAATGGAAGATCTTCAATTCAGCACCTTCAACGGAGTTACGGAAGCGATGCCCGCCGAGCCTTCCTGTTTCTCTGAGTTTGGGGAAGACGTGAGATTGCGGCGAGATCCCGAAGATTCTGCTGTACCCGATGAAGCTGGGGAATCTTTGTTCGATTCTATGCTTTGCGACTCCAATTCACGGCTTGTCCCTTCTGGGTTTTCAAGCTCGAGCTGCACAGGTGAGTAACATTCTTGGATCTGGAAGTCATGCTGGTGGGAAATGATTTTGGTGACTACGGGATATATCCTAGTCATCGGGTGATTCAATTTTTTGCAAGGGTCTAAGAGTGTGGACCTTTCAAGTAAAGATAGGAGGTTCCACAGAAATCAAGAACATTGCCTGGCTAACTTCTGTTTTTTTTTCCCCTCTCTCTTTGCTTTTCTTTCAATTCGTATGTTCAAGAACCAGATGGAGTTTTGAGGTTTGTAAATAGTGGGCATGAGACGACAGTTGAAGCAAGCTCCACACTCAAATTTATGGGCGACTCTTCTTTTAATGGAGGGACTGTGCTACGGACTGATGAGGATATAACGGATGCTGGGGATTTTCCATTTCTCTACCAGTCTGCGAGGTTCGGAAACTTCTGTTACCAGTTTCATGGTCTTCCTCGAGGAGATTGTTTCGTCGATCTTCACTTCGCTGAGATTATATACACCAATGGCCCTAAAGGAATACGAGTGTTCGATGTATTGATACAGGAAGACAAGGTAAAGGAACATAATTCCCATTTCCTTGTTCTGGATTGCAGCAGTCAGTGTGTTTGATGTACTGAAATTCTTCTTCTTCTCGGGCATATGGCAGGTCTTATCAGAATTCGATATCTTCTCTGTTGTTGGAGCAAATAAGCCTCTGCAATTGGTTGGTGTGAGGGTCTCAGTGAAGGAAGATGGAGAACTTGTAGTGAGATTTCAAGGGATTAATGGAAGTCCTGTTGTGAATGCAATCTGCATAAGGAAAGCACCTGAAGGGGCAGGTAATTGTCTTTCCCATTGCTGCTGCTTAAATCTTCACAGTATAGGGGGGTTAAGTGCATTCGATAGAAATATATTCTATTGAAGAACAAATCTTAGAGCGTGTCATTTTGTCAAATATTACAGCACCTCAGCAGCCAAAGGAGTACCTTAGGTGCAACCATTGTGCTTCAGAGATCGAAGTTTCTTCAGCTGAGGTCAGATTTAAGTTCACTGAAATATGTAATCTTTGTAAGTGTTCTGAATTGAATGCTTACATGGCTCTTCTTGTTAGCAGAAACGGCTCATGAGGACTAAGGCTACAGATAAGTATGAGAAGAAGATACAACAGCTCACTACTGACTGCCAGCGCAAGGCAAATGAATGCCATGAGGCTTGGATGTCATTAACTGCTGCTAATGAGCAGCTGGAGAAAGTCAGGATGGAACTTGATAACAAAACCTTTCAGGCCCGTTCTTTAGGTAACTCTCAAACTTAACCTCATTGTAAATCTTCCGATACTAGACTAGTTAGGCTGATTCAACTTGGTTAATCAGCTTCAAAGTTTTGCTGTCTTCCGTCGTAATTTTCTGCTCCGAATTGATGTTTCCAGACTATTTTTTCAGTTCATGAAAACATGTGTCTCGTGAATCAAAAGGAAGAGACAATACAATTATTTAGTCAAGCTCTGTGGAATGTATTCTTTGGAGTGAAGTGCTTCAAGATGTCCATCTAGTAGTTAGTCAGGGAACATTTACTTAATCATCTTACTGATTTCACTTCCTCTGATAGATCAAACGGTGGGGGAACAAGCTGAGAATTTAAGGAACATTGCTACCATGTATGACCAACATAAGAAGAGCTGGACAGCGGCAATCAACAATATGCGAGAGAAAATCAGGGTAGGTTACAAACATTCAAGATGTCTGTTGGATAAGAGCTTTCTTTATGACAATTGTGCTTTCTTTCTGCCTCATACTTGTCTCCCATGAAAACTTTTCAGATTATGAAAGAAGAGCACATTAGGCTTTCTCGTGATGCACATAGTTGTATTGAGTCCATACCCGAGTTAAATAACATGGTGGCTGGAGTTCAAGCATTAGGTAGGGTCCTTATGTTCAGTTCTTGAATAATTTGTGTACTTCGTTTTTCATCGAATAATGAAATAACTTCGCAGTTGCTCAATGTGAGGATCTAAAACTGAAGTATAGTGAAGAACAAGCAAAAAGGAAGCAGTTGTATAACCAAATACAAGAGACTAAAGGTACCTCTTGTCTTGTTCCTAAGTTTCCCAGAGAATCACATTATGCAATCCTTTTTAGTAGATTATTATTGTAAGGCATGTATATTTTCAGGTAACATCCGAGTTTTTTGCCGGTGTCGCCCATTAAGTAGGGAAGAATCCTCAAATGGGTGTGCAACAGTTGTTGACTTCGATGCAGCAAAGGATGGAGATCTTGGGGTTCTCACAGGTGGTTCCAACAAAAGGACTTTCAAGTTTGACAGGGTTTACACCCCTAAAGATGGTCAAGGTGCATATACGGCCCTATCATACCACCAAGGCACCACTGTAAATGTTCAAATTATGTACTTAATTAGATTTCTTTTTGGCAATGGTAGTTGATGTCTTTGCCGATGCGTCACCATTGGTCGTCTCGGTGCTGGATGGGTACAACGTTTGCATATTTGCATATGGACAGACAGGGACAGGAAAGACATTTACAATGGAGGGGCCTGAGCACAATAGGGGTGTCAATTATAGGACCCTTGAGCAATTGTTCTCAGTTGCCCGAGAAAGGAGTGATGCTTTCACTTACAACCTTTCTGTCAGTGTCCTTGAAGTCTATAATGAGCAAATTAGAGATCTCTTGGCCACATCACCAGCATCAAAGAAGTAAGTGAAAACTATAGTTTAGTCTACACAGTTAGGCTTTCAGCGGATAAAATTAATGTGATAACATGGTATTCAGCGGTTTGATTTTTGGAATGTTAATAGGTTGGAGATCAAACAAACTTCTGAAGGTTCTCATCATGTACCAGGGATTGTTGAAGCAAAAGTCGATAACATCAATGATGTTTGGAGTGTGCTGCAGGCTGGAAGCAATGCTAGAGCTGTTGGATCGAATAACGTCAACGAACATAGCAGCCGCTCTCACTGGTCTTTTACTAAATTCTTTATCTTGTCAAAAACATAAAATGCCAACTCCTCTTTTACTTTCTCCATTTGCTAATAGTTGGCGATACAAGTTCTATTTTCTCCATTTGCTAATAGTTGGTGATAAAAGTTCTATTTTCTCCATTGCTTCAGTATTCTATGCATCATGGTGAAGACGAAGAATCTGATGAATGGTGAGTGCACGAAAAGCAAGCTTTGGCTTGTAGATTTGGCGGGAAGTGAACGTTTGGCTAAAACTGATGCCCAAGGAGAACGACTTAAGGAAGCACAAAACATTAATAAATCACTTTCTGCTCTTGGAGACGTTATTTATGCTTTGGCAACAAAGAGTAGTCACATCCCATACAGGCAAGACTAGATATACATTTATCTTTCTATTTGATTTATAATCGTTAATGTGCTGTGTATTTCTGACTGGTTTTGCTATTTACTACAGAAACTCCAAGCTGACACATTTACTCCAGGACTCATTAGGAGGTGATTCCAAAACCTTGATGTTTGTGCAAATTAGCCCTTCCGAGCATGACTTGAGTGAAACTCTAAGCTCGTTGAATTTCGCAACTCGAGTTAGAGGGGTTGAGTTGGGCCATGCAAGGAAGCAAATAGATACAAGTGAGCTTCAAAGAGTGAAAGCATTGGTAAGAGAAAATCTTACTTAGCTAATTTATTTCTCTCTTAGTCTTATAAATGTCTTGATGGTCACATACTTATTTCTTTAATTTACTACAAAGCTGGAGAAAGCAAGGCAAGAATCTAGATCAAAAGATGAGTCAGTAAGGAAACTTGAAGAGAACTTGCAGAACCTGGAGAATAAGACCAGGGGTAAAGACCATGTTTACAAAAGCCAGCAAGAGAAGATCAGAGAACTCGAGGGACAGCTTGAACAAAAGACTGCTATGCATGGCCAGTCAGAGAAACAGGTATCTCAACTTTCAGAAAGACTTAAAGGGAGGGAAGAAATATGCAATGAACTACAACAGAAGATTAAGGAATTGGAGAGCAAGCTGAAACAAAGAGAGCTATCAGACCATGAAACATTTCAACAGAAGATCAAGGAATTGGAGAACAAGCTGAAACACAGAGAGGTATCAGACCATGAAAGTTTTAAGCAGAAGGTCAATGAACTTGAGAAGAAGATGAAAGAGCAAACCGAAGAGTCAGACTCTCGATCCCTCACTCTTCAACTTAAGGTGGGTAAAGATTTCTACTCACCGTCAATGCTTCAAACTGTTTAGTTATCGTATGGCATGCTCTTATACATCTCGTTCAAACATGTTGATTTGCTAGATTAAGGAGCTAGAATGTAGACTACATGAACAGGATCAAAACTCGGAGACTTTGGGGCTTCACCAAAAGGTGGTTCTATGTGCTTTTTATTATTATCTTTGCAATCGAAATATAAATCAAACTGGTGATATCAGTTAGCTACTCAATGCCCAAAAAAAGGTGTAGGGAGCTCAACAGTGGGTTATGGTTTGCAGATTAAGGAACTAGAAGAAAAACTGAGAGAGCAGGAGCTGATTTTGAAGCAAAATAGGGGAACTAGCAGCAGCAATGCAGTAGATTGTGTTAGGGCTACTCCAACAGAACGAAAAGCTTCTGGAAGAGATGATGAACGAATGATGACTGATGCTGTTGAGGCTCACATCTTGAAGAGCTCAAACTCAATCAACCGGCCCTCAACTCACGGGCACAACATGGTGGCAAAAGACAACAACCTCCTCCATGATGCGCGAAAGAAAAGACATTCTAGAAGTGGGGAAACAGAGAATAACAGCATGCAAGCATGCTTCAATGATTACTCAAACTCAATCAACCGGCCCTCAACTCACGGGCACAACATGGTGGCAAAAGACAACAACCTCCTCCATGATGCGCGAAAGAAAAGACATTCTAGAAGTGGGGAAACAGAGAATAACAGCATGCAAGCATGCTTCAATGATTACAGAGGTAGGAAGTCTGACCCTCCAAAGATTGCAAGAGTTACCAGACCAATGACAACGATGATGACAAGGCCCCCAGTCATAGGCGGGACTACTAGTGGCCAAGTGGGGTTGACCCACAAGAGAACAATCAACAGAGAACCAACAACAGCAGGACATGCAGCAGCAGTCAAGAAAAGGGGTGATGCAAAGAAAAATGTTTGGTGCTAGACAACAATGCGATGTGCCGATGTCATTCATTTGTTTCTTTCAAATGTTTGTTTGTGTATTAGGATATGTGTTATATGTACCGTTGCTTTGCCTTCCGGAAGTGCAGCACCTTTACTGTGCTGAAAGGGAATGAAGAAATGATACAGCCACAGGCTAACACTGTATTATGCCAGTGAATGGAATGAGCGAATCATTGGGACTTTTGAAGCCTCGTGGTGAGTTTGTTCAAGTTTTTCATTTTCCAGTCTGCCATAAAACTGTAAGTTACAATGCCATTTACGTAGCGATACCTTTGCACCAAGAATGCTTGTAACCTTTCTATTGTCCTGTCTGCCATAAATATGGTTCTATATGCCACGTACCCAGTTATGTCTGATAGGGTAATGTCACATGTGGTAGAGTTAGGACTGGGCATGCGGGCGGGTCACTCCCGGATTTGGGCCCATCCGCCAGCATTTGGCTCGAATTTCATTATGTGGGTGGGTGATGGGTTGTGAGCGGGTGCGCGGGTGACCCGCTCAAACTAACAGCAAAAAGAACAAAACTGTTGGCGCTAGAGAGTGGAGACGTTGACGGAAATTAGGGCTACTCATGGAGATTGAATTTTAAAGCCAATCTTCCAAATCTCGACTTCTCTCTTCTTCTCTTTATTTTTTCCTCTAATTCTTGTGCCCAAATCACCTTTCTTTCCTCCGTTGAATTATTTTCTTAGTTTCCTGCACCTGATAATCATCTCCATTCATAGAAAACTCCTCCATAATAGAATTTTTATTCAATTTCGGAACTAATTCGACATTTTTTCTTCGTATTCCATCTTATTGTATCCGTCCGGTAACTCTCCACCAATTATCTTGCCACTTGAAATGAATCTCAAATTTGGACGGTGAATGGATGTTCAAATGAATTTTTATTTTACCTATTAACATTACACAGGGGGTCTGAAATATAAATGGATCATGTCAAGTTGAATCCTTTATATTATGTAGGGGTGGCCGATCGATTTTCGGTTAGCAGCTAACCGGACGGTTTCACTGTTAACCGCCGGTTAGTGGCTAACCGAAAACCGACGGTCAGGGTGCTCGGTCGGTGTTCGGTGAAGCTGATTACTTCGGCTAGCTGAATAAATGAAAGTGGTTAACCGTCTGACTGAGGTAACCCCAACCCCAACCCCAACCTCCACCCTCCATCGACGCCAAGAGTCGCCGCCACCACACCAAGCCTGGGAACGCGCATATGTTCCCCAAGTGGTCTGGCTCCACCAGCAAATCGACGTCCTCTGTAGCTGAACCTGGATCCCTGAAGGTGTCCTATATGGGAAGGGTGCGATCGAAGCGAGATCGGAGCAGTAGGCTCCGCAGCCTGCATCGATCTAAGGGATCCGCGGAGCCGGAGTAAAAGAAGGAAAAATCAGAGAGGCGGCGGGCGGTATCGGGATTCCTTGCGAGCTTTCATGCAATTTTCAAGCCTTGTTCGAAGTCAAAAAAGCAATCCAAGACCGAGGCCATCGCGTCGGCGTTGCACAGAGACTCGACGTGCTCCTCGAGAAAAAGCGACGCCACGGCGAGAGCGAACGATATCAGTAACCGCCTGCCGTCTAGTGACAGAGACGCGCACGAAGAAAGAACGGAGGTGACGTTGAAGGCGATCACCGGTGGCGGCTGTTGGCGTCGACGAAGCATGAGTTCTGCGGCTTCGGCAAGCCGATCATCAAATTGAGATTCGAGAACCTCTAGGGTGGGAGGAGGAGGAGGAATTCCCCAGCTTCGACGGAGGGTGGAGGTTGGGGTTTAGGTTGGTGGGATTAGATGTGCACCGGCAAAGTTTCGGTTACACGACTAACCGATAACCGACCGGTCGGTGGTGGGGTAGCCGTGCAGCCCTTCTTGGTCGGTGGCCGGATGACAAGAGGGGGTGGTTTGGCTAACCGATAACCAACCACTCGGAATCGAAACCGACCGCCCTGCAACCCTAATATTATGTACAATATGATGCGTGTGAACCCGCAAACCCACCTGCATCATTCTCCATCCACCAGACCCAACCCGAGCCTAAATGTGGGTGGGGGTGGGTTAAAAATTGTCAATCTGTTTAAGCGCAGATAGATGTTTTTATGGCCAAAATCCACCCGACTCACCCAATGCCCACCCCTAGGTAGAGCTATTAAGGGGTCGTTTGTTTTTTAGGATTTGAGATGAATGATTTAGTCAATACATGCATTGAGGAGATTAAGTTGTTTTTTTTATTTAAATTGGGCTCAAATACATGAATTACCTTCTTGGGGGTCCACTCACAATCCATCATAATGAATTATTTACAATCTCTCATTAAAGTAGAGATTGTAAACAAAGGATTCTGGCCCAACTTTCTATTCCAATTCTATCCCTGCTTTCTTTTATTTATACCAAAATTAACCTCTTCCTCCACTAACTCTGTCTCCTTACATCGACACACACACAGAAGCCAAATAAGGAAAAAAGCTTCCATGTTCCTCCCTCGACGATCTGCATCGGAATTCCAGGAAATCGATCCTTGAACTCCTTTGCCTCTCCGTCCTGGTCGATCGGCGTGGTGTCCTTTTGTGGCCGCGCTCGTCGGGTGAAAAGCTTCATCTTGAACCAGGTTAGTCCTTCGATTCGAGTTCTTATAAGGTTTATCTATTGGAAGCAAATGCTATGGGATTTGTCATCTTGAGGGGTTGTGGCGGGTGAAAATTTTCGGAATTGTGTTTGTAGCTTGGAAGGAAAATAGTTGGCAGGCGTTAATTTTGTTTACTAGGGTTAGAGCCTTTAATTTGGAACATTGGTTTGTAAAGAATGGAAATTGGTTGAACCTTTAATTTGGAACATTGTAGCTACGGTAGGTGTCAGTATGCAAACTCGGTTTAACCTTTAGTTTCAATCATTAGGCATCACCATCACGACGAAGCCAGGACAGTAGCTATATCCTGCCATCGGAAATCGTCCTGGATCGAAGGAAGAAAGGCCTTGAAGGAGACCAACAAAAATTCCTACGTGGTTATCATTCCATTTATTGAACAGGTCTGTTACCCATATGTACTCTCTTTTGTCACTCCTTTCTTACCTCATTTCAACTTTGTAAATCAGATGTTTATGTCGTAGGTCATGGCTAGGTGCCCCAAGCAAAGGAAGAAGGCAATAATTGCTGCAGTGTCTATGTATTTGGACCTCTTATTCAATTTCATTAGGCTGATTATACAGTATTATGATGCATTAGAATCTGAAGGTTTTCAAGCTGTAGAGCATGTTTCTGCTTGGGAGACACCGATTGCTTGGTAATTAGCTAGGAATTCTTTCATGCAGTGTATTGTTTCCCACGGCGACATATCTTGCACCATGCTAGTTAGAATGAATTGTAGGACTTTTCAGAAACTATGCAACCTTCTTAGAGACGAGGGAGGCCTTAGGTGTAGTTCGAATATTGAGATTGATGAAATGGTTGCCATCTTCTTGTACACGATAGCCCATAACGAGAAGAATCGCCAACTGCAAGTTACCTTTCGCCGTTCAGGAGAAACGATTTGTAGGGTCATTAAGCGTGTTCTTCATTCGGTTTTGAAACTTCATTCGATTTTGCTTCGTAAACCCACGCCGGTTCTGGAGAACTCCGAGGATCCTAAATGGAAGTACTTCAAGGTATATGGTACTGATGTGTTATATGAATTGCTAATTTGTCTCTATGAACAACTAATATATGATGATTTATCCCGTTTAGAATTGTTTGGGTGCACTTGATGGAACAATAGTCAATGTTCGTGCAACGAAAGAGAATCAAGAAAGATATCGTACTCGTAAGGGAACAATTGGAATGAATGTCCTGGGAGTTGTTAACCAAAACATGGAGTTCATTTATTGCTTGGCTGGTTGGGAGGGGTCCGCTCATGATGGCAGAGTTTTAAGAGATGCTCTTATTAGGCCAAATGGGTTAAAGGTTCCTAGAGGTAATTTTGGTTCTGCTGCTTTCTCTTTAATGATGTTTTATTGGTATATACACCGGTCATAATTCTACATTGTAATGTTTAAATTTGTTTGGTAGGTTTTTATTACTTATGTGATGCAGGTTACAGTAATTGTGAAGGGTTCTTATCCCCTTTCAGAGGTCAACGGTATCACCTAAAAGAATGGGGAGGAAGACGACCAAGAAGTCCTGAAGAAATATTTAACATGAGGCATTCCACAGCAAGAAATGGAGTAGAACGAGCTTTTGGCATACTGAAAATGCGTTGGGCGATCTTGAGGGACACAACTTGGTTTTCAACCCGTATGGTAACAAAAATTGTGAATGCATGCTGTCTGTTGCATAACTTCATTCGTGGAGAGAATGGTGCTGATGTGTTTGAGAGGTTATACGTTGATGAAGATCCGGATGATGAAGAAGAAGTAGTGGATGAAGACCTCATTGTTCATATTCAGCCTTCTGTACAGTGGTCCGATTTTAGACAACAATTGGCTGATGAGTTGTGGAATACTAGGAATTGGGCTGCTAATTGACTAGGTGTAGTTTGGTAGGCTGCACTCAATGTTAGTTCCATTATGATGCAGTGTAAGAACGAACTACACTCTAGTTTGTTCCTTTTGGTAATTGAACCTCTTTGGGGCTGTTTTGTAACGGGGAGTGAGCTACTGAACTATATGTACTTCTCTAATGATGATGTATGCAGTGTTATAAATGAGTGGTAGTTATATATCTCATCTTATCAATGCTAGCAGTTTCTGATGTGTTAGATCTCTATAAGATCTCCATATTTAATACATGAGATGCAAGTATAATGCAATTTACGATGTCCAGAATGGGAGTTGCAGCGGGTTTGGCTGGGATGAGTCTAAAAAAATTATTGTTGCCGATGATGATGTCTTCAAGGAATGGGTGAAGGTAGCATATTCTTATTTCTTACTTTCATTTGTTTTATAAGTAAACTTGCTGATCATTACTGTCAATTTGAAACTTGTAGACCCACAAACACTTCTCTGGCCTCAACAACAAGGCATTCCTGTATTATGACCAGCTGGCCAGAATTTTTGGGAAGGACAGAGCTATAGGAGGCCAAGCCGGGTCTGCAGCTGACATGGAAGTTGAGCATCGTGTTCAAAGGGAGGAACCCATCATCTACGATGACGAAACCAGCCAACGTGTGCTAGAGGAAATCATAAATGAGGGTGTTGATCATAGGGATTTGCTCGACAGTCCACGAGCTGGCCGTGGCAAGACAACCAATGTAGAAGGAATCAACAAGAGGCAAAAGACTGATAAGAGTGCAGCTAGCAGTCAAGTTGTGGCTGCTGAGATTGAAAAAATGCGTCCTCTCATGGAGAAGACTACCTCGAACATTGAGAGAATG